AACTCCTTAACGCTCTGTGGCAAAAGTGAGTGGTTAAACTTTGCTTCATCATCTTTTGGTTTGGAGTGTGATCCTTTCTCAACATAACGGTATTTGAGCAACGACAATATCAACTTTCCGAGAGGGGATACTAGTGTTTTAAGAAAATATAGATTTTTTTATTTCCATTAATAATAATTATACAGAACCATGTTCTCCAACCTTCTGCTTCATTATGTTTTGGATTGAAGTGTGATTCCTTTCCGTCCCTCACTAACACAATGGTTTACGCTCCACGTCAATATCTTCTTTGGAAGTGAAAATTAATTATGAGATTCCTCAAATTTTTGAACTCCAGAGGCTCGATCGCCTTCATCCGGCCTGGTCAAAATTTCTTCAAGAGGTACTTTTCACTCTTCAAGGAGAATTTGGGACAATTACTCAATAATGCTTGAGAAATTCGATCAACCCGTTGCCACGGCGATTGGATTTGGTAATTCAAGTTCGAAGAGGGCATACTCGTTATTTACTCCATCTAGGAGGTCTGCTTTTTATTTGCTTCAAGTGATCATAGTTTTTCTTTGCAGGTGAATGCTCAAAAAATGGGGTGAAAAAAATTGGTTTTCGAGTTGTGGATCGATGAGTTCATGTAGGTTCTCCCGATTTGAAAATCCATACTTCCTCAAAACACTTGTATCTTCTCGTGAAATGATATTGACGTGAAACGAAAACCCCTGTGTTGGGGAAGAATCACACTTCAATTCACAAAATCATGAAGATGAGTTCAATTACTCACTTTTGCCGCAAGGGGTTAGGAAGTTGATCGTGGAATAGTGAGTTTTGTTACGCCCTGTATAATACTCAACCCATCAATTTCTTTGTTACAAAATTCCGGGTTCACATTCAGAAACTCGAATCTATAGAACAAGAACTGAAGTGGTTACAGGGCAATCAATATATCTTGCGGATTTTTCTGTTGGCCGGTTTTTTTTTGCCGATGAGTGTAAAAACGCAATGAAATTTCGTGGACAATAAGCTGACCTATTTGCGGAAGCCAAGGACATCATCTGACGTTGGAGTGACATGAAAACACGACTCGAGCTGGTTGAAATGCAGTGACCACTTTCCACAGCCCCCTGAGGATATTATTATTATTATTTAAATTCATATTATTCCAGTCATGATTCTGCGAACTTCGACGCCACGCAGAGTTGTGCTTAATGAGATCCAGTGACTACTCCCCACAGCCTGTGGGGCGAATAATTACTATAAGCAAGGAATTTGTGTCCTGAGTGAACGCAATGATCCAAGTATGACGGCTTTCTGCATTACACCAGCCAGGATGTATGCCTTATCGCAGCACGCTGGGATTTTCTGGATTTCCGAGAGCAGCGTATGTCGTGTGCCTCCTAAGGAGCTGATCATCAAGATGACCAATTTCACAGAATGGTCTGGATTCAGCCTGCGGAGTTCGAAGGGAAGATCTCGATGTTTAGTCCGTTTTTCCTTCTCCTTCAAAACGATGTTCGGTTCGGCTGGTGCCGAAAACTCGATCACGAACATCGCTTTGGATTGATGATCGAGGAAAACTACATCATGCTTGTTAGCTTGTATCTGCCTGAGGGTGAGAAATGAGCAATAAATTTGGCACCTCTCATTCTCCACAATGTACTCAATATCCCCCAGAGCATAGGGCATCACTGGAGTCTCGTCTATTCCTTACGAGTGCCTCAAATGATAGTAGAGCACTCACAATG